AAATTATGAATATTGAATAAAATTCTTATTATTTTATAGTAAAATAGTAATATATTTTAGAATAAATTCTAAAATGATAATAAGCAACAAAGACATAGATAATTTGTTCGATGGTTTTATTAACGTTAACCCTTTATGGGATACACAATTGACTTAAATTATAGTATATCAGAAAAAATATCTCACACACCTATTTGAAAGTATTTAGCAATATTGGGTTTATATTTTCTGACCCATTCCGCATTCTCCGAGACCACATATATCGCCTTCTCTGCAGAACTCAATGACGGTCCGAGTGACTCAGAATTGTTGTGAATGAATGCACGAAGCTGTAACAATTAATTTTAATTTTTATATACATTGAAAGATATACTGGAAAAACGTTTGAGGAGCTAGGTTAGTCACGTGACTTTCCTAACACACATTGATAAAATTTTTGACGTTTTTTACTCTGTTTTTATTGATAACCAGACAAAAATAGTGTAGAATATGGGTTTATGGGAATACACTTCTCGTCCTTATATGAGAAGGTCGTCAGATACCTCTTCAAAAAAAAGAAGGTCAAAGGCTCGGTCTGATCATTATTTCAATCAAAACAATCTGTTTTGGATATAACATCGCTTATAAGCAAAGGCCTTGTAACTATGATTTTTCGTCCATATTATAACGCTTATATTGCTAAATATCAGTATATTCTGATTAAATAATGACCAGACCGTGTCAGATTTGATTTTACTTTTTCTGAAGGCGTACCTGACGATCGAAAAATATTCTCATATAAGGTCGAAAAGTGTATTCCCGTAAACCCATAATTTTGGCTAATCTTGTAGGTAACATTGACAGTCTGTCTTATCGCGTAGCTATCGGACTCCAGCTCCTTTATAATTCCTCTTCTTTTATCTGACGACATTCACTGAATGCAAGATATAATTTAAAAAAAATAAATAAGCAATCATGAAATAATTTATAACAAATCATTGAGTGAAATACCGTTTGCACTTGATAGTCAGCTTTCATCGCGTTTCCAATCGAAGTAATCACCTTACTGAGGAAATCATATCCTCTCCTGTAACAAATATCTTCACGTTATGACAGAAAATGTGTAGAACAGATAATTTCGTATTTTTACTAAATTATTTTTGACGTCAATTTATAATACAGCCTCCGGTATTATGCTGTAATATACGTTGCTTTCATTCATTGACAAATATTAATTATAGATACTACTCCGAGACAGGGTTCTCATAATTTATCCCGCACGGCTCGCTTCCCCTCTTTTTCGCCCGTATCTCGATCCCTACTACTATTCTCCTCATGCACCTTCGCTGACCATGCCTAGCATACCCCCATCAAGTACCAGTCCCCACCATGGTCGCGTCGCCCCCACTTTCCGGCCGAGGGATAAATTATGAGAACCCCGCTCCGAGAGACGATCTTTATATACGTAGATTTGTCATATATTATACATACTCTGTGATGATTAACCTCAAATGCTTTTGCACAAGCTCCAAAACGAAATCCACGTTCCATCCGTTTCCGTCTATGACGGCATTCATTGCTATAATTCTCTGTTGTGTACGGACATGCTTATTATAATCATTCGATATTGCTAATGTAACCAGTCTGTAAGAAAAGAACAATCGATGTCTGAGTAATAGGGATGAGAACAAGTATCTCGCAACTGGGTCCGAACTTTGATTGATTGAATTTTCTATAAGTACTTCGAAAAATAGAAACAGAATTCGTATCTAACTCGAAGTATAGTCGAACCTATGCCAGATAGTTTCGAACCTTTCATAAGTACCTTAGTAAACGAGAGTAATACTACTCGAATATTGATTGAACAGATTTGATTTCTGTTCCGTCGCAAACGGAACACAATACGCGAGGAGTCCTAACGGGAATTTATGACGAGTCTTCTACGAATAGCTATTTTTGAGTTTCAAACATTTTTTAAATCACCGGCAATATTCATTTATCTTTTTTATACAATAGAGTTCAAATTTTAGTTTCGTGTCGTCCTCAATAGCTCCGATCCTGTCATAAATTCGGCGCTTCCCGAAGGGTAATTTAGCGAGCGGTAAGGGTAATCCTTTTTTTAGCCTTCGAGGGCCTACCTGAAGGGAAAAACCCCGGTGTTACCGGACATGGGACTCCTCACGTACGCGCGAGTCCCCACCCTCTCTTTGCGTCTCGGCAAAAACCAAGTGAGAGGGTGGTTACCAAACCCCAACGACCATGCTGATTGGAAAATCAACGGTTCCGAATGACCAGTCAGGGTGGTCTTCAACGTCTAAAGGGGGCTCGAAGAACGGATGACAACGAGTCATTCACTTCGTCTCAAAACTTCGTCAAGAGACTACGTCGCGAACTTTCGACATCCGAATAACGAAACGATTGAGTACAAACGTACAGAAACCCAAAGTGAACTAGGGAACGAATATCGGGGCGCGATTATCAACGACCTCACAGGTACGAGGAGATTTACAACCTCCTCAGAGGAATCATTCTGTGTTCTGTATTCGCGTGCCGGCAACGTACAAACGAAGTTGCTATCGTACACTTTCAATACTTAAAATAATATTGTGGGATAGAGGGCGTTCATTTATCATTAGATTTACCTATTAACAAATTGTTCGTTAATGTTAGTTTCCTAGAGAAAATGTTTATTATAAAAAAGAGAATCGTTGTCGAGAAACGTCGAGTCGTCGAATGTCGAGTTCAGTAATAAAATGTACTGCAGTGTGTCGAGTCGTAACAGTGTCGTTC